CTTAGCTAGAGCAGGAACTACACAGCCTCTGGATGACATTTATGTATCCCTGACCCTCTCTTGAAGGACTTGAAATCACTCTCTTAGGAACATGTTCTAGAACCTCAAACTGTGTCAGGTTATTAAGTCGTATGTGACTCTATTCATTCTCCTCTCTCCTTAACTTTTTCTTGTTTACAATAAGAGATGCAGGTTCTGCCAAGAAAAATACAACAAACTTGATCTCAGCTACTGCCTAGAGTTCTTTCAAAAGGAGAATACAGTTGGCCTCCTTATCCATAGGTCCCACATTTGTGGATCAACCAACCACCTCCAGAAAGTTCCAAAAAGCAAAAACTGAATTTGCCATGTGTTGGTGGGCTTCTTAGATGGCGCTAATGGTAAAGAACCTGCTTACCAATGCAGGAGACATGAGACGCAGGTTCAATCCCTGAGTTGGGAAGATCCCCTGGAGGAGGACATGGCAACCCACTCCAGTATTCTTTCCTGGAAAACCCCCATGAATAGAGAAGCCTGGCAGGCTACAGCCCATAGGGTCGCTAAGAGATGGACAGGACTAAAGCAATTTAGCATGCAAGCCCAGCAACTCTTTACATAGTTTTTACATTGTACTTACAACTATTTACATAGTGTTTATATTGTATTAGTTCATATAACCAATCTAGAGATGATTTAAAGTATATGGGAGGATGTACATAGATTACATGCAAATACTACAGAGTTGTATGTTAGGGACTTGAACATCCTCAAATCTCTGTATCCCAGGATAGAACCAGTCCCCCTGTACTCTAAAAATGGATTTGAAAGTAACAATCACATTTTTAAAAATAAATAAATAAATAACCTTGGGAAAACCCAACTGCTTTCACATAATAATAATCATTCAGACTCTAGAGAGTACTTCTTCTTTTTCACACATCCTTTCATGTTAAGGTACTCCTTCCTGTAAGTTAGTAACGTTTGGGTACCCCTCACTGTTGACTAAGCCGTGAGACATCCAGTTCAAAGGCTTGGAAGTGACCTATTCAGAGATACATATGGAGATGGCAGCAGAACAAGAACGAAGTTTTAAGAGACAAGGACAGACAGGAAAACAGGTGCATTTTCTAATGCAAAAGCCTGGAATTCATATATTTGAAACAGTTCATCTCACTGCAACACTTTTTTTTTAGTGTTAGACTGTCAGATAAAAGTACAGAATGCCGAGCTAAATTGATATTAGACAGCAATTAATTTTTAATATATGTATGTCCCATGTTATATTTGCAACATACTAAAAAAGTATTTGTTGTTTATCTGAAATTTAGTTCAACTGGACATGCTATGATTTGCTAAGTATATGACTATTTAACGTGGCTTTTAAAATTATCTGTAAATGCCTTTGGCTCTAGATTTTTAAGCTTCAGGTTAGTCTTACCCACAAAACTCCAGACTCAATGCAACCAACTGCTCACTTGACATCTCCACTCAGTGCTTAATAGACATTTAAAGCTCAGCATACCCAACACCAAGCTCCCAACTCTCTGCCTCCATGCCTCAGTCCTCCTCAGACTGCTCCTGCAGTTAGCCTCACCCCTCTTAATGATCTCTTCTATTACTTAGGTCAAAACTGGGTGTTATCCTTTGCTCCTCTCATACTCTCACACCTCAAATACCTCATTTTTGCATCCTCGTAGTAGAACGGAGGAATTCTCAATGGGTTTAGGCAGTAGAGACGATGAAGAAATATGTCCCCAAGTACTCCTGCAAAGTTGCTTCTAGTCCAAAGAAGTCTCTTTTTCAGAAGCACAGAGCCTCTTGCTACATTTGTGTCAGTCAACCAATAAATGACTGTCCTTAAAGAAAAGCAAAGGTGACATCTTTTGCATGATAAACTCAGTCAGTCCAAAGCTTTCACTTTCAGCGCAGCTTAAAGTGTATAGTAGGAACTGCTAACTGCTGTTAAGTGGGAAAACAAGACAAAACTTATTACCTGAAACCCCCACTCCCACTCGAGTTATTAAATGAAAGTTATCTTTTCACTTTTAGAGTAACAGCGCCTAGACTTCTAGAGGCCTAATAATTCTTTCCAACTAGAAGAAAAAGGACTTTCATAAAATAAGTAGAGGATATACAATGTGTAAATCTGTATAACACCCAAGTCCAGCTTTAAATTTGAGAACTCCAGGACATTTTCTGACAATTTTTTGTTTAGTACACATGATAAATGTTGTGAGGTCATGTCAGGTCTTCCTTATCAAACACCAAGGAACACAGAAACTAGATAATTAGAGCAACTCAGAGCAACCTAATTTTTTTAGTTAGTCCAGACCAATAAACATTTTCTCTAAGTTTCTACCAGATTAGCAGCTACCCTCTGAGATTCTCAACAAGGAGCAATGATTTCTACTCTGCTGTCAAGGCTTAACATGCCTAAGGTGCTAGAGATGCGGGAGGAGAACAGCCAAAGCAAAAAGGGTTTATTGGTTCATCAATATTTTCAGATATTTCAGGTCCTAGGCCTGGTGCTCAGCAGAGTCAAATTGGAAAGTGGTGTTTTCTGTCATGCAATTTTGCTATGTCACTGTGTCAATAGCAACTTCTCATATAACATGTCAATCACTGCATCTATGTTTTCAAAAGATGGTAAATGTGATTAACAATGCAGTTTGTAAGTGACTAGGTCAAAACAAATGAAGGTAACTACATGAGAAAAACAATTTAAAAGATGAAATAAATTACCTTGAATCCCTCTATCAAATAATCAAAGATTTTTATAAAAACAAGAATCAAAAATGCAATGCACAATCTACATTTTTTCTGTGGAACACAAAGAGAAGTAAAGCTTCTTAAAGAGATTTGAAAATGATTTCATTCCACATAGAAAAGTTCACTGTAAAAGTTTGATTTTGATAAGTACTTTTCTACTATATTGCCACATTATCTCCATATCAGGCATTTTCCATAGCCTTTGCCCAATAGCTCAGTTGGTAAAGAATCCGCAATTTAGGAGACCCAGTTCAATTCCTGGGTTGGGAAGATCCCCTGGAGGAGAGATAGGCTACCCACTCCAGTATTCTTGGGCTTCCTTGGTGGCTCAGCTGGTAAAGAGTCCACCTGCAATGTGGGAGACCTGGGTTCGACCCTTGGATTGGGAAGACTCCCTGGAGTAAGGGAACAGCTACCCACTCCAGTTTTCTTGCCCAGAGAATTCCATGGACTGTTTAGTCCATGGGGTTACAATGAGCTGGACACGACTAAGCAAGCAACTTTCACTTCTTTTTTTCAAATTTTCAGGAAATAAGCAAATTTGAAGGGACAATCTAATTTTGTTTTTTGCACATTTTAATTTCAAAAGTTTCCATGCCTTTTTGAGAACATAGCAGGGCATATTTTCCTATGTTGCTATGCCTAGTGTTTCTAAACACTGAAACTTTCTAAAGATTCTGTCACATAATAAAATAAACCTTTCAAGCTAGATTAAAAAATAATTGCATCTACTGTTTAAATGTCTGCAACAAAACTATCAGTTCCCTGAAATAAAAAAGGGTGTACAGATAGCCTTCAGAGGCAACTTCAGAGGTGCCCAGTCAGAACTGTGATCTCCAGCAGACTGTGTATGTGTGTGTAAGTGTATAAATTCAATTAAATCATCAAGAGCACTTCAAGTACTCCAAGTTAGTGGAGTTTCTGCCCATTTCCTATAGAGACTTTCCATAGCCATTTTTCTTCCCATTGATGAATTTACTGACTCTGAACACAAATGTTTCCCTTTATCACATCATCTTCCTGCCAAGTCTCTGGGTAACCGCTCTCGTAAACGGCTGGCCTTTTCAAAGATAACTGAAATGTTTTAATCCTCATATTGCATCAACTGATCACTCCCAACAATTAAATTCTCATTTAAATACAACTTTTGGTAAGTCCCTCAGACCATCTGAAACGCTGACTCTGCATGTGACAGCAATCATACTATTCAAAACATTCTCCCCAATATGTCGCTAACAGGAAAACTGCCCGCCCTGGAGTATAGCTATTAATGTCAAACAGATTGTCATCTAACAAAATAAAAATGCATCAAAATCATCTTTGGACAAAGTACAGCCCAACGGAAAAAAACCATAGTTTTTATGTGCAAATAACTTAAATGTCTTTTGGGAATGTTTAAAGAATGAGTTAGCAAGGAATCTGCTACTGGTCCCTCTCCATAACCCAGAATAACGTTATAATGAAAAGAGTTTCAGAGTTAAAGGGTTTTTCCTCATAGCACACTATAAATTTACTAAAAGATGCATTTGCCCCAGTTCTAGTAAACATTATAAAGAAATGTTTAATTTCCAGCTTGGGCCGAGGGTTCTATTTAGCCTATCAAAGCACAGACCTGTTATAAACGCTGGGACTCTTGCCAGAACATTTTTCCCCTGCAACTCTTAGTAAAGATCATACCTCGAAAGCACTGTGCCTTGCAAACCACGCAGATTTAAGCTCCCACTCCCACCTACGGAGCTTGGCACCAGCGGCTTTTGAGGTAACCTTCATCTCTTAGAACTCAGACTGAATTGCCACCACCAGTCCCTAGCCTCCCACCACCGTCTCCTCATCCTTGCTCAGCTCTCCGGAGCTCAGCACGGAGCGTCCCTAAAGCCCCAGCAGAGTGAACTCAGAGTGTCACCCAACTGCCAGCTCTGAGCACACCCACAAACACTCTCCTACTCCCTCCGCTGCAAACTGCCCCCCAATATGTCACTCAGCTCCCCCTAACACCATACCCCCACGTCCCTGTAGCTTTTTCCCTCCTCCTAGTGGCTTCATCCTCGACACACCTGTCTTCCCTGCTAGTAGACGTCAGGTGCCCACGCTGCGCCCTGTCCCACGCCCCTCTCAATCCAGCTGGCGCTACCCACCCCTCCCCGAGGAAGGTCATTTCGCTCGGAGCACCTTCTTCCCCCATCCCTCGCCCACCCGCAAACAGCCCCCGACTTCCACCCTCGCGGGCTCGGAGAAAAGAGAGCCTGTGGTACCTGCCGAGAGTGCGGCGGCGGCGGCGAGCAGCAGAAGAGCCTGGCGGAGCGCGGCGCGGAGCGCTCGGGTCATGGCCACAGGGCGCCGCGCCCGGGCTGCGAGGCCCGGGAGAGGAGCGGCCGGGGCAGCGCGGGCCGCTTTGAAGTTCCCGGGGCGCGGAAAGGAAGCGCAGCCCGGCACCCTTTTGAAGTGTGCGGTTGGCTCTATTCAGCGCCGGCGTCCCCCTCCCCGGCCTCCCCCATCCCCCGCCCCCCGCGGCGGGCTGTGCGCCGGGCTCCAGCCACTGGCCCCGCAGCGGGGCTGGCAGGGGCGGGGGTGGGGGGCGACAGAGCCCGCCCCTGCCGCGCCTCCGCCCCTGGGTTCTCCGGCTGCTGCCGGGGGCCTGGCGCTGCCCAGCAGGCGGGCAAAGGCGGCTCGTGGGAGAGGCAGTGAGATCGCCCAGAGGCGGGGCGGGGATGGGTAGGGAGCGGAATAAGAAAGAGGGTGGGGTGGCGCGGAGTCCCCAAGACGGGGTACGCTGAGAAGCGGGTCGGGACAGGAGGGAAAGCTCTACTGAGACTTTCGGAAAACTTAAACCCTGCAGCAGCTGCTTCCTGATGGCTCCGCTCTGTAGTCTCCTACTGTAGATCCACGCGTCCAGGTCTCTTGACACTCACTTGTCGCCAGCGCCCTCAAGGTTTTCCAACGTGAGTGAACCCTGAAACACCCAGGCTCCACACTCCGCCAAGTCCTGGCCGTGCGCGCCTCTGTGGAAGGGCGCCCTCTGTGTCCAACTCTGGAAATAATCAGTTGCCCCCCTGCCTGGGTTCCCTGTAGAAATTTCTTCTCTGATCTGGTGCCTTCAAGCAACCCTTCCCTTTAGCAACCCATCCTTCTATGAATGGCGACCCTTCGGACTACCTGCGCCAGCCTATGTGGTCGTCTGCAGTGCGTAACCCAGGTTTGGAAGGAAGTATAGGACCAGTCCTACGGAAGATATTTTAGCAACTACAGTTTTAGTAATTGAAACACTGAGGGGCAGAGTGGAATCAGACGCAGGGTTTAAGGAGAGGTGAAGAATTATATAAAGCAATATTTTAGAAACTTGTTTTAGTATTGTTTAAATCCCTGGGGCTTATCAAATGAGTGTGTTTCCCATGTGGATTGTGTTTGCAAGTATAAGGGCAGTCTTACCAATTAATAATTAGCCTAAATTCAATTCACATATTTAGCCTGTACATTAAAGTGAGTAAGATTTTTTTCAAATTTTTATTGGATTACAGTTGATTTAGAATGTTATGTTAGTTTCAGTTGTACAGCAAAGTAAATCAATTATATATATATATATACACACACATATATCCACTCTTTGAAACTTTTTTCCCACATAGGCCTTAAGAGACTATTGAGTACCATTCCTTGTGCTATTTATATAGTAGGTCCTTCTTGTTGTTGTTCAGTCGCTCAGTCGTGTCTGACTCTTTGTGACCCATGGACTGCAGCACTGCCAGGCTTCCCTGTCCATCACCAACTCCTGGAAAATGCTCAAATTTATGTCCATCAAGTCCGTGATGCCATCCAACCATCTCCTCCTCTGTCATCCCCTTCTCTTCCTGCCTTCAAGTGTTCCCAGTATCAGGGTCTTTTCTAACAAGTTGGCTCTTTGCATCAGGTGGCCAAGGTATTAGAGATTCAGCTTCAGCATCAGTCCTTATTAGTTATCTCTTTTATGTATAGTAGTGTATATATGTCAGTCTGAATGGAATTATTTTAAACTGAAAAACACAGAAAGCCAAGAATCCAGTATTGGTGTTATTGCTGCTGTTAGGTGGCTCTTTGAAGAATGGTTGTCATATAGATTAATTGCTTTAGAGTAAGAGATATTACTTGCTTCTTCATCTAGTTTAGCACTAAATAATGCATGTTCTTTCTGAAGTCTGTGAAAGACTTCATAGATGAAGTCTTCATAGATGAAGGTGAAATGATGTATACAACTGACTTAATCGAAGAAACCACAGTGTTGGGGATGGGATGTTTGTCGGACTTTGCACGATAATGACAGTCTTGAGGATCTTACTGAGCCCAAACACCACCACCACTTTGCATGAATCAAAACATCCGTAAGCATAAAATGACTTTGTTCTCCTTTCACTCTGGATCCAAGTAAACTAATCAAAAAAAAAAAAAAAAAGGAGATGTGGGACAAGCCTGAACCCTTCCAGACACCCACAAAACAGATGCTTTTTTGAGAGAAGACAAGAAAATGCTAGGACACATTATATTTTAACTGACTTGGCTTGCTCGTTATTTGTTAAGTATACCCTAGATTGGAATCTACCATTGGATCATGAGACTTGGAGCCTAAAGATTGGGGCCTGTTTCCTCAAAAGTAAATGGAACTTCTTTCCTCCCTATTTCTCAGAACTACAAGATTAATAAGGGTAGTGAATATGAACATACTGTCAAAACTTAAGGCATTACACTAATGTCAGATCTTTACCTTGCACATATTTAGTCTCTTAAATACAGTAAGTAGTGTCCCTGCAAGTTGGAAAGCTCTCATCCTCTAAGAAAACAAGGTTAGTATCCTAAGAAGTCTGATACTGAATAACGTCAATATTCTAAACAAACTCATCATTTTCCTCTTAGCCTAATGGTGCGTTGTCCACTGTGGCATCTGCCAGCCACATGTGAATAGTGAGCACTTGAACAAGAGCTGTAAGTATAAAATGCATGCTGGATTTCAAAGACTCGCTATGAAATAAGAATATAAAATGTATCAGTAATAATTTTTATATTATTTATATTTTGAAATGATAATATTTTTGCTACACTGGGTTAAATAAAATATATTACTAAAACTAATTTCACCTATTGCTTATTACTTTTTAATATAGCTATTAGGAAATTTTAAATTACATATGTGACTCACATTCTGTCTCTATTGGACAGTGCTGGTCTAATGAATCCTCTTCAAATGGCAAAATATCATTATGTTTGTTTTGACTTACTTAAGCACAGTATACAAAAGCCAAGACTTGTTAGATACCTTGCCAGTCAACATGTGGGCAGCCAGTGAAGGAAGCAGGAACTCTTGAGTTCTTGGTGCAAACTTCTATGATACAAAAAAAAAATTAATATTTCAAAATCTAAGTACCTTAGTTTACAGGATTATTTTACACTACATCTTCAAATCCCATTTTCCTCTGTCCTAAGTGCATATTCTTCTTCCAACATTAGTACTATGGCAGATTTTAAGTAAAGTGTTAACCACTCTCCAAATATTGAATTCCAATGACTGGCAAAGTAAATATTTAGTCAACTGTAAAAATATCAGGCAACTGTAAATATTTTTTATATGCTTTAAGAGTTTCATGCTTATTATGTGTCACAGTTTTTACTTAAAAGAATATACTTTATCTGTATATGCACATAACACACCTATGGAAATTAACCCAGTTTTAATGCAGTATCTTTTAAAATGAGCTATTATTCAAAGAGTATTATTAAGAAAATACTCTTTGGAGTGACTCTTGCTATTTAATATAAGCAGCATAAATGCATTGTTCAAGATGTGATATAACACAGTACATCTTTCACATTTTTGTATGTAACAGAAAAAAATTTACATGGGAGACTTTTTTTAATTTCACTGGAAAAAAATTCACATGCAAATATGTTTCTCAAGATTTAACCTTCTCCACATCCTTAATCATCTATTTGTACATATTCATTACCATAGCAACATTATATCACAACTCCTGGATTCTCATCATCGAAGGAAAACAAAAACAACAAATAACTGAGAAGTTCATAACCCGTCAGCAAAACAGACTTTGGGTGAGTAAATCTTATATAACCAATGGAAACAAGTATAACTTGTAAAGATTTGATACATTTGCAGAATAACGTTCTGAATCAATAAGGCAAATAAATGTGTAATAACAGAACTTTGAAAATGACTACTGGTTGAATGTGGTTGTTTAGGTTTCTTTTTTATCATACAGGTTTCTTTCATTATTATCCTTTCCAGAATCATGAATGCCATGCATCTTAATTTCTCATTTCATCTTGGAACATGAACTTGTCATTGAACAAGCATATGGTGAGGAGGCTTGCTATGATAATTTGTTATATACTGTCAAGGTCTAATCTTTTCTCATTTTTACGCATTTTTCCTTCCCTAAACTCACATTCTCTCTAAAAAAGTGCATGAGACACTCTTCTCCACTCATCTCATCTCTTAATCCCAAAAATCTTTGCATTGGGGAATCCTGATTTCATTTCAGTTCTTCTCCTTCTCCTTCATCTGTTGTTGATTCTATTCCGTGAAAATAGTCATGTGTTTTAGGACCTTTGTTGAAATTCTACAATATGTACCTTCCAAGTGTATACCTCATGGGACAGCTCGGGTCTCATAAAAAAGAAAAATAATGACTCCCCTCTGTGGACATGGATAATAGGGGAATATCAAACAGTTTCTTAGCTCAACTGCCACTAATAAAAGCTTAAAGTCTTTTTTAAGATTCACACTATGTGTTTTCATCACCTTCCCAAATGGCTGTACCCCTTCATTGATTTTCATATGCTTTTAATACTGTTAATAAATAAGGTCTTTCCACAAACTCAAACTTTGTTTTCTCTTCTGCTGACTAATGTCAATGTGCTGAGCTGATTAGCTGCATTCAATACAGGCTCTATCTGTAAAAGGCAGGTCAGAGATCCAGTTCCAAGTAAGCAAGCCACCACTATTTGTATCATTTCCTTAGAGTGGGCCTATAATTATACTCTACCAGAGTGAGGTCACACGGAAATAGGAGAGTTAGATGATTCAGTACAAATCTACCGTTTCCTAAGTAAATGACTCAAAGAGGACAGATATTTTTAACCCCAGACAAATAACCTGTTTTTTCCCCCTTATCACTTTCCTGTATCATTTTTTATATTCAATTAATCAGCAGTTTCTATGGATTCTAACTTTTATAAAAAATCTCTCATATTTTTTTCACTTCTTTCCATCTCACTGCGACCATCTGACCTCAGGTCATCATCTCCTTTAGCTTGAAATGTCAAAAATGCCTCCTCACTGGTTTGCCTTCCTTGAGGTTCACTCCTCTGCAATCTATTCTCGTGGACCCGTCAGTTAGAGAGATCTTTTTATAGCACAAATGTGATCATGTAACTGGGCTTCCGTAGTAGCTCAGTTGGTAGTAATGCTGGTAGTTCTGGCATTGGCAGCAGAACTTAACTTGGCACATAACAAGCACTGAATAAATACTTATTGAAAGAATAAGTAAATGACATTTAAGACCCTCAACCATATTGCCCCAAACCTGCTTTTCCAAGTGTATGTCCATTTTTCTCCCTGCTCCCTACACACTAGCACTGTATTTGTTAAATGGATGACTTAGCTCAATGACAGCAGTGTTTTCATAGCTAAAAATCTGCCCCTTTGTATTCACATTGCAAAACCAGAGACTGTAGTTTGGGTAAGTACCAATAATAAGAATGAATACTAAAACTGAGCAAGTAAACCTTAAAAGGGACCAAAGAATGTTCTCTAAGGGACTCTCTGACTTGGAGGTGAAGTCATTCCAGTAAAAGAAATTTGAGCTCTGTATCAGGCAAGCTTTTAGTTGCAAATAAACCTACCTTAGTAAGTTTAAGCAGCTCATAACTTACTAGAGAATACTAAGCAGCTCATAACTTCTCTAGAAAAGCCCATGAACTAAGCTTGGGAGTTATACAGACAGGGATAGTATGCCAGCCCTGCTGTCCTACTGGCCTCTGAGGTGCTCTGCCTTGTGTCCCAATGGACACAGACAGTGCGTCTAGCACCATCAACATCCTGAGGCTGGACAGAGGATGATTCTGCTAGGATCGCTCCTGCTGCTACATCTGAACACTAACTGTGGCTTTCTTCACTCTAACTGTAGCTTCAAGGAAGTCTTGGGAACCAAGCATCCAGTTTTTATAGTGAGGGATAAGGATGCATAAGGTAGAGAATTCCCTCCATATAAGATGAATGTTCAAAGGTGGTCCAAGAGGAATGGTGAGCTGGGAATCAGAAGCCTGGGTTTCTAATCACACTTCCAGAATTCAGACAAGTTATTAAATCTTTACAAAGTTAGAACCAGAAATTAGTTTCAGACCTTATGTAAACCCTCTTTGGCCACAGCTTTACCACATTTAATATTCTTCATCTATAAAATGGGGAAATATATCTCCAAGGTTTATTTTGTGAATGGAATACTTTAGATTATTATGCAAATATGTGTTAATAGTTCTATTGTCACAAACTAGGAATAACATTTTCCCAAGCAAAAAATCTTTCATAATGAGATAAAAATTATGTGGAAGTCTTTTTGAATTTTTTAAAAAGTTGGAAAAATACAAGGAATAGAATTTTAATCACCTATGTGAGAAGGAAATAAATACTTAAATATAATTAAAATTACAAGGATTTAGTATTGTTGTCAGTGAAATTCTTTAGAAAATACTGGATGTTTGCTTTCCTTTTACTGTTATGATAATAAAGTTTATGTACAAATATTGGCTGCCATGCTTCCAAATGAAAGGGCCCACATGATTGTGTTTGTTCCTTTCTATTTGCCTGTTTATCTGTCCGGCAGGGCCTTGCTTCTCCATGTTTTTCAAAACAAAATGTAAAACATAAAATGCACAAGATAAAAAAGATTGCAAATGACAAAAGTCCTAAAAATAGCTATCAAAATATTTGCTTTCTCTCCCCTAAAAGTAGGATTCTTGTTCCTAAACTCAAAAGTCAGGGGTTCTTCTAAAACCTAAAAGGATAAGAAACCAAAAAGAACAATGATAGAAAGCATTACTGCCCAAAGCTCCAGAGGAACAAATTTGAGAGGGATGTGAAGGATGTTGAGAGATACCCCCCAAAATTCAAACTCAGTTACTTCCTATTGTATTATCTGTGATGCAAAGCTTTTACTATCCAGCTGCCAAGTCGGGTACTTGTCTTGTGATTGGGGCCCCACATGTGTTCTGCTCTTAGAAGTTCATAATGTCATTATCAAACCACTCATTTCCTTAGAGGTGACTCCTACATTAGGATTATCAACTATATAGTAGATCATGACATGTTGGAAGATGGGTACATTATTTTCTTGGTGTGCCCCTTTTCCTTATCTCTTGTACAGAGCTGTAACATATGCTGATACTTCTATTTATGGATTCTCTGGGGATCAAATACTTAAGAAACTGTTGTGGTTGAAGAAAAATCACCCAGTACTTGATCCATCACTGAAAACCAAGTTGGCTTATTATCACTGCCCACTCTTGCAAAAGGACTCATATCCAGTTGAAAGTAAATTAGCCTCACTTCAAGAAAAGAGGCCAAGTAAGCCCAGCTTGTCTTTGATATTTCTAGCCTCTCTTATTCCCTACCCTTTTGGCCCCTGTCCTCTACGAAGGGCTCCTAATCTCCTACCCATTCTTCCCATTCAAACAAGAAAGGTTCTGAAATTGTACTGTTATTGGTCAATAAATTATATTTCAGAATGAACAAAATTCTATCAGTCTAGTACAATATCTCAATATTCGTATATTGTGGCTTCATGGGTTGTTTTTTTTTTTTTAAGAAATAAACTTTTTTTTCTTACATGACTTTCAGAAAACAGCAATGATTATGGGGAAAATCTGAGGACTTATGGAGAAACTTACTAGAAAAAGACTCTAAAGATATCCTTCAATTAAAAAATAAATTAATTAAAATAAATAAACAAAATTTAAAAATAAATAAATAAAGAGTCCAGAATCTTGCTCAATAACTCAAGTCTAATACCTTCTGAGGTTTCAATAGAGAGAATATTGTCCTGTGGTGAAGAGGTAGATGGATAAACAACTTAATAAACAACTCTGCTACCACCACATGGGCCCAGAGAGTGGGGACATGGGGACCTAAATAGAAGAAAATGTTCACCTGTAATAAACCAGCTTAATGTGGAACACAACTGTTCTCTAAATTCCTAGTACTAGACTTGATCCAGGGATGCAAGAGAGAATCAAACTCCACTTTAAGCTCTGATATAATAAAAAAGGGAAACCAAACCAGAAAGGAGGATACAGCCAGGCAACATAGTTGATAAAACATTGGTTGTTCATGTTTTATCTCCTGGTCTCCTAGACAGCCACTTCCCACCCCAGTTCCAGATTGATTTCCCTGTGGCCTGTCCCACAGAGCCCACCTTATTTAAGGGGAGGCTGACTCCAGAGAGCAACAGACATTCCCTCTTTCTGAAGCCTTTCTACAGCCCACCTTCTAAATGTTCCTTCTTTTCTGAGAATGCTCCTCTTCACCACATCATCAACTCCAGGACTATCCAACTCTTTAAAGTGAGACCCTCTTCCTTTCCTCCCAGCTACATAGATGTGGCCTTACTGATTCACAGAAGAACCATATCAGAATGCAAAGCACCAAAAGAGACACACACTTAGATGCACACACACACACACACACACACACACAGAGTAGTAAGGGACCCAATTTAGTACAGCAACAGACGTATCTGTGGATGACTGATAGGTCTGAAATCAAAAGCATCAAATATGAGTTTTGCTGAAGAGGGTGGCCTGTCCTATTACCCTGAAGCAGCGATCTCCTAAGAGCCCAAGCCCAGAGGGAGGCAGTGAGGTGCACAACCAGTTGTCATCTCTTTCTTCAAGGTCTGGGAAGACATATTAGCAAGTTTTTATGTCCTTAAAGTGAAAGTAGCTTGTGTCTGACTCTTTGTGACCCCATGGACTATTACAGTCATGGAATTCTCCAGGCCAGAATACTGGAATGGGTAGCCTTTGCCTCCTCCAGGGGATCTTCCCAACCCACGGATCGAACCCAGGTCTCCCACATTGCAGGCAGATTCTTTACCAGCTGAGCCACAAGGGAAGATAACAAAATGGAGAACAGGATTTTTCATACTCTTGTAAATCTCAAAGGTCAAAGTATCTGATAGCACATGGCATGGGAACAGATGGAAAATTTGCTATGTTTTATCATGACTTAATTAAGATGGCTCCCAGAAAGCCCTAAACTTTCACTTTAGTTTTAAGTTTTATGGGAAATTAATACATTTTCAGTGTGCATATCAAAGCACTACTGCTAAGAGCCTTTCTTCATTCCATAAATGGAGTGACCATAATGTGATGCAAATGGTTTCTTGACACTTGAGTCAAATAGACCTAGATCCCAGCATCTCTTTTTCTTTAACAAAAATCTAAATAAGTTGACATAATTGTTCATAAATATTTATTGAATGCATACAACATAAAAGATATTATCCATAGTAAGAAGATAAATTTGGTCCTATTGTTTCCAAAATATGAACTTACTTTGCTGAGACCTTTGGATTATTGCCATCTCTGTCATTTGATAACCCTGTAACAATGGTCAACTTATCCTCGGGGTCTCCATTCCTGTCTCATGAATTCTCACTGGCAATTGTGAGAATTACTCTAGAATTAATATCGCTTGATGATCTAAAGCCCTTCTACACTATAAGCATTCAGTTACATGGAAATTCCCATCCTCTTCTTTCTTAGTTTTTACTATAAATTTTGTTTAAATTTGACTTATCTGCAAAGGAAATAGAAATAGCAATATTAAAGTTTAATAATTTCTGAAAGGTAAAAATCATATAACTATTTAGAGTGGCTTTTTGCCCTAACTTACACAGGTGGTTCATCAATTCTTTCCTAATTCACCCAATACCTATTTTACACAAAGCACTGTTTCAGACACTGGTATATAGTGTGGGAAAAAAAAGAAATGTCAACTACTTCTTTGAAATTTATGTCAAACAAAAGGAAAAAATCTTAAAAACTAGTTACATAACTAATTAAAGTGTGATAAGTATTAGAAGGGGCAAATATAGGGTACTATAAAAATTACAATGGGGTGAATCTGTCAGAAGTAGCAAGGAAAGTTTCTGTTAGGAAGTGAGTTTCTGTTAGGAAGTGTGTCTTGAAACTAGAATAGAAATTAGTCACAGGTTGAGTTCCTGCTTGTATGCATGTGCATGTATGTGTATGTACATGTGTATGAAAGACTGAAGGCAAGTAGGCACTTGGTTTTAGAGAAATATGAGTGCTGGAGATGAGTCTGAGGAAGTATTCAGATCACGTGGGTACCTTTTAGCCACATTAAGGATTTGTATCCTGATTTTTAAAGTAATAGGAAGTCACTGAAATTTTTCAATAAAGGGAATGACATGATCAGACTGAAATGTTAAACTATCACTCCAGCTTCTAATGTGGAGAATGGGCTGTGCCTAGGCAAGAGTGAAATCTAGGTCACTAGCTGGGAGGATTTCTCAGTCATTTAGATGAAAAAAGACTTGGCAGGAACCAATTTTGGCAGAGGAAATAGAAAAAAGAGCAGTTTGTTGAAAGAGGAGGGGGAGACAGGAAAGGGAAGAATGATTCAAAGTATCCCTTGGGGCTCTGATGCCTGCCCTGGGTGGACCATTCCACTCAGAGAGGAAACACCTAGGAGAGTCAGGTTGGGATTAGCATATACACACTACTATATATAAAATAGATCGCCAACAAGGATCTACTCTATAGCACAGGGACTATACTCAATATTTTGCAATAACCTATAAGCAAAAAGAATCTGAAAAAGCATATGTATACGTATGATTCAATTATATATATATATATAATAAAGTGATTCAATTATATATATACATATATATATCTCACTTTGAGTGCTGGAGATGAGTCTGAAAAAGTATTCAGATCTCACGTGGGTCTTTGTCTTCCACCTGAAATTAACACAATATTATAAATCAACTATACTTCAGAAAAACAGTCAGGTTGGAAGTGTATGAATTCCATTTCAGATACTGAGTTCAGAATGATGAGACATTCATTAGAGCTGTGGAGCTGGTAGTGATATACGTAAGTATAGGGTTTATAAGACTGATCTTGGCAAGAAGCAAAAATTTGAGAGTTCTCTTGATATACAGGAGGTAATTAAAACCAAGGCTATGGATAAGATTTTCTATATACATTTTTTTTCAGACATCTACTGAAGCTGTCTCATGGTTTTTCCTGACTTTTTACAGTCTCCCAGTAGAGTTCCTAATTGGTACAATCTGATTTAAAATGTTTTCAAGAATCATGTTTTATGGTACCAACATTTAGACTCTTAACCAATTACTTATTATAACTCATTAAGAAAATCCAGAGTTCTTTCCTGATAAAATGTTCACTTCATGCATAAATACCAGCATACTAGCTAACTCCTATGCTGATATGTTGATCTTTTGATTGGCTAGACTTCACCTTCAGATACTTAACTATACATAGCCGGGAGAGAACTTTGCCCTTTCAAATCTGGGTTTAAACCATATGGTTTTTGTTAGAGTCACAACACAAAATAGCTACAGTACAGCTGCTTCTCAGAAAATCCAGTCATGAATGAAAGAAATCCATGTTGCCTGAGAAAATATTTGTGGGGTAGGAGGGAAGCAAGATACAGTCCTCTAAGTTAATCAGTAAGAAAAACATTTGTCATTGAAGGCTTTTATATTATTTTAATCGACTATATTGCCCTAACTGGGAATCATTTTCTTGAAATGATCTTTGAGGGTTAAGAAATTAAGAAACAAATATTTTCAAGGTCTTAAAGCTCTGCCTTTCTTTAAATTTTCTAGTTTCTTTAGGGCTTCCCCGGTGGCTCAGAGGGTAAAGCGTCTGCCTGCAATGTGGGAGACCCGGGTTCAATCCCTGGGTCAGGAAGATCCCCTGGAGAAGGAAATGGCAAACCCACAAAGGGGTAACAAAGAGTTGGGCACGACTAAGCGACTTCACTTTCTTCTTACTTTTCTTTAAGCCTGAAGTGACAGAAAAGAAAGGAGGAAATGTTAAATTTTAAATTTATAGTCCTCTGTGTTCTATAAAGAATTTGAGATGCTTTAGAAGAATTTATGGAATTTAGACACTGCTTTCTGAAAGAGGACTTGTGTTCACCTTACTTGCTACAAATAATACATCCTTCCTTCTCCCCACCCCCAAAAAATTCATGGAATGAAACATAAATATTTGTTTATACACACACACACACACACACACACACACAACCAACAAGGAAAAATACACAAAGCAGATGAGTATAACTAGGGTGAGGTAAAATGTAAGTATGTAGGCCGAAGATCCCTCCAGAGGTACTAGAGTTGGCTTGTAGGTATGAGCCTGACATTTTGGCTTTTGGGTAAAGGGATGCATCATTATTTTCTTTGTGATACATAAGGAAGGTAAATTCTCTCTTCTAAAAGTAATTTCTTCCTTGGGGTTTTGTTTAGAAGACACTGAAAGATATATTTTAAAATATTCTAAAGTAAATGCATTAGTAGTAGTAGATTTTATACACCTATTTCTGGCAGTATTCTTCAAGACTAAGACATTGTTCCAAAAACAACTCAGTGACAGCAATTCTATGAGGTGACAGAAGTAGAGGGAAGATGGTCCATGTGGCTATGTGATGGCCTAACTCAATCCACAGC